GCACCAGCATACCCTCCGCATTGATAACTCCGCTTACTGCCACAACATCATCATGCAGTCACTTATATTAATGCCACTATTAAGGTGTGGTAACCTGCTGCAGTATTCTCCTGAATGATAGGTGCTGGCCACAAATGTGCCGATGTAGGAAGAGAAGAAATCAAAACCAGAAACAAATAGTTTTTCCAAAGTGTTTTTAACAAAATCTCCAATTTTTAAACAGCTGCAACATCGTCCTCTGTATAACTGTATGTCTCTGAATTTCTGTACTGGAATATCATTAAAACTGACACACTCAAACATTTGTGTCTTCAACCCAGCTGTGACACAACCCGCCAAGTTACGAGAAATCGAGAGCCACACAATCGGCCGCAAATATTGTGACGAATGCCTCATGATGTGATATCAAAATCAGTGAGCGACACCTAGAGCTGGGCGATAGAACGATAACGATATGTATTGCGAAATAACTTTTTCTCGATAGAAAAATAAAACTATTGCGATAGACCTCATCTCTCTCTATCTTCCTCTCTTATAAAAAAGATGAATAGCCAATACAAATTAAGTAGCACAGAGCCGAACCAATCACAGCCGCAGCATCACGTCACGCAACTTGTTACGTACAGCTCAAGTGCCAAGCCGCACATGTGTATTTGTTTGGGAAGCAGCCAGCCGCCGTGCGGCCGGGTAATGGAAGAAATGAGTGTGCCGACTAGAGAAAAATCAACCGAGAGCTTGGGTGACCAGGTTACCGAAGAGAACACAGATGACGGTTCCAATGCCGGAGAGATTGTCGAAAGGAAAGGCCAGAGAAGTTCCGTAGTGTGGAGGTATTTCGGCTATTTGAAGTCTCACAAAAAACAGAGTAACGCGCACTGTAAATTGTGCCGAAAGCATGTTCCCACAAAGTCTGGAAATACAACAAACCTTTTTTATCACCTGAAGCAGTGCCACCCACTAGAGCACGCTCAATCTCTGACTGAAAGCGCTAATTCCTCATCGAAAACAACCAGGGGAATCCCTGTGAAGCAGCAACAGTCAATTGAGTCAGCTTTCTCCAGCGTCTTACCATATGACAAAAAAGCTAAAAGACATAGCAACAAAACGAATGCCATAGCTTACTGTCTTGCTAAAGACATGCTACCAATAAACACGGTCGAAAATGAAGGATTCAAGCAGCTAATTAAGGTAATGGATCCTCGTTACCAACTCCCTGGACATAAACATTTCTCTCAGACAGCGCTTCCAAAGCAATAAGTTAGTAAATTTTGTCTCTTCTTCTGTAAAATTAACTAAGATTTATTTTTAGAATTAATATTTTGTTTCTAAGTGGAACTGACAATTTAGTAGTCTGTTTTGTTTGTTCTATTTTGAAACTTAAATGCTTTAGCGGCTACCTTTTGTGTAGTTTGTAATATTTGCCTTTATTTTGTCTAAACTGAAGCCCAATTTAAAGAAAACCGCCAAGGTGAAACTAATAAGGGAAAAAAAAAATTAAAACAAAAAAAACCGCCGAACAATTTAAAATTTAACTGGGAACAAAAACAAAATTAAAACCTAAAAAAAAAAGTAATTGGCCTAAAACCGGAAAAAAAAGCCGTAATGCCCGAAAAGAAAAAAACAAAACCGGAAAAGAAAAAAATCTTATATCGCCCAGCTCTAGCGACACCCATGACACAGGTTGCACAGCAAGCATAAAAACAATGTCATTAGCCATTCCTGGGTCCACTGTTCTTTGATTCCCATAGCCAAAACAAACACTGTGGTATCACTGAGTTAAAAGTGGCCCAAATGATTTCATCTTCAATAAAATGATCAGTGTGGCTGCCTCCCAGCTGTTACAGTAACATTAACATCCAGGCATGCATGAAAGAGAGTTTGAAGTTAGCAGGAAGTTGGTTCGCCAGTTTCCATCTAAAGATGAAATGCCATGTTCTGACTGACGGATTTCCAAAAACACTAAATTAAACAGCACCAATGTTTGTATGCTTTATGAAGTTGGGCTAGTTGGCATAGAATGGCTAGCTACAGAGCTATGGTTATGATAATACAAACAAATTTGCAGAACGGAGATTGAGGATGAACATTAACCTTTTCACCCCGAAACCCCTTAATGTGAGAGTCAAATACAAATACAACCATATAACAGGTGTACAGGCTAAGCCTACGCTTGAAGCCACTGAGGTGTATGACTGGTGAAGTTGACAAGAAAGTCCAGTCAATAACTCCAGCTGTATTTACCTTGTCAGTTTAAGCAGTCTAAGCAATCACCATTGATTGCATTTGATATTTCACAGTTGATCGTAAGATCCAACATCATCAACTGTTTGGTCCTTCCAACCAGCAACACCTGACCCTAATTAAATGTTCTACCTTCCATACAATCATTTATAAATACAAAAAGTGACACCTAGTGGCACACATAAGGTAATAAGCAAAACACAAAAATGGCTCCTACACACCAGGCCCTAAGTGCAATGGCTGTCAGACATGACAATTCTAATTATAAAGCAAATAAGGAGCCAAATTAAAAATAAAGTACTTCCATTTTAGACACACACAAAAAAAATAAAATAAAATAAAAGCACTTAAATACACTTTTAAACTACAGTCTAATGTAAAAGACAAAGTTTAGTTACAGGGATTTCAAGAATGTTGGTCTTTGTTTTTAAAGTCCATTTTTATTATGAATGGTTTCACGAACACGTCTAAGGGGCCAAGAATCTCGGTGGACAGAAGAACCCATTAAAACAACTATATATCCAGGTTTTAGATTTTTCCTCTTTTGGTTATCTTTTTGTCTCTTGTGTAACAAAGGCAGGTATTCATGTATCAGGAGGATGTGATTTGGAGTAAATGACTCTAGGTCTTTTGTAGGATTTATACAGAGTTGATTATTTAAGTAGGGTTCCTAAGTAACAGCCTCCTCTCAGACTCAACAGGAGCCTGAAAAGTATGCCATCAATCAACATGTAGCATCAGGCAAGTCTTTTACTTTAGTAAAATTTACTGTGGATTAACTTTTGACTTCAGGGTCAACTGGTTCTATGGAGCTTTCCATTAGACTGGAGGGGAATCACTTTCCGGCTTCTGCAAAAACTTTGGTCCTTCGATCTAGGGACTGTTATGATATGGGATATTTTGCGGTAGGGTGGGATTTACCACTTTGTCAGCGCAAATCCTTCCTTATCCCAATACAGAATCATTTAAGGTTCTTTGTCCCTATTAAAACAAAGATGATCATTACTTCAGTCAATGCACCACTTTTGGGATTACAGACAAGTCAGACTCAAAATTTATGCAGCACTTGATGATGAGTTGTAGCATACCATTCTCCTATCTAACCCTGCCATGCCACTTAGTATCTAAGGCACAGATAAGAACTTGACGAAAACCGCCAAGGTCTACAAACCATCAGTGGCTCCCCTATATCATTATAGGTCACCTGCAGCCTCCTCAAATGACCTTTGATATTAGTGCAGCACTCACTGCTAAATGCCTTGACCTGACTGACCTTTCCTGCATTCATTCTGACAAAACATAAGTACCTCTAAGATCTTCCATTGCAATCATTTGAACAAGCACATCCATTAGTGCTCATTGTTGCTGATCACACTGACCTTATAAGATCTACAGCACCAGTTTGTCTTGGAACCCCGGGGGTCTAGCTGCCACTAAGACTCGCCTAGGATGGGTGTTGTTGGGTTTAAGTCAATCCTGCTGGTAAACAGAAACTGTTACTGTAAGCAACCACACAGACGCCAGTGCACGTTTCACTTGCAAGGATGTCAAGGAGGGCAGTGCTGCCACTCACCTGTCCAAGAAACTGTTTTATTGACAACAGAAGTTACACATAATTTAGTTAACCACGTGACAGTTTTAAGCATGATATCGATCTCTCCAGTCGCCCTCATACAGAGTGTGACTTTTCACAAACTAATGTGTATCATGCTGAAGCAGCAGAAGTGAGCGTCTCGCTAAACTATAAAAACAGAAACTTGCAATAGGTCATATCTCAAATGATCATTTAAAAGATGTGAAATCTTGCACTTTAATGGAACATTTAATGGTTTCTAAAGCTATAATGGAAAATTTTAACATCGTGGCTGATTCCTGTCTGCACAAAGTACATTAGTATTTTAATCAGCACACATACAAGCAATGGAATTAAAGCTGATCTAGCTCTTTCTGCACAATGACAACCATATTAGGACACTCAGGTGTCACAAGGGCCAACTCAGCTTATGCAAACTCATCATGCATTTCAACAATGTTTCCTCTTCCTTAGCCCTGTGGCGTTAGATCTTAAGAGAAATATGGAAAAGTTATGGCAACTTACCGCCGTGAGAACCAGGTAACTAGATTCCTAGAGGATCAAGAAGTTATCGGCCTTCTGGAGACCAAGATGACCAGAGTAGAGGTGAATGGGATATCTTGCCATGCTCAGCACAGGTATAAAGTTATATATAATGGTATAAACTTTTATCATGGCAGAAAGTTTGAACTGTCACAGCAGGACATCCACAGATGTAAAACATAAACCTAACAAGAGCAGAGTTCCCATTAAAGATATCACTCACTGTGTATCATGGATAATGATACACACAAAGAGTTGCTATAACCTCCACATTGGTCGCTTGGCATGCTCCGGCAACATTATTACACAGTCATTTCTGATTATGCCCGCTGTTAAGGTGCAGGAAGCCACTGCAGTAGTCTACTGAGCGTTAGGCATTGCCACTCAGACAATACCACTACGGCAGTACTGATATCACCTAAAAGGTGAAAAGCAAATAAATCTTTTTTTAATGTTCTTGTTTTGTTTTTTGTTTTTAAATTGCTTTATGACCAAGAAACTGAAGGGGAACCTTCCTTTGTTTTCAAAGAAGATAATATCATTAACAAATCTACTAAAATGTGTATATTTAAAAAAGCAAATATGTACTATTGAAGGCAATGAGAAAATTACATTTCTTACCGTCATATAGGCCTTAGGATTGTGAAAGAAATATATACCCTAAATAACAGATGCCAAAAGTGCCCCCTGTTCAGTACTGTACTGTGAGCCACTCCTCATTTCTTTATCTTTTCCTTCCAGCCTGCATTGCTCTATGACTATTTTATACCTTTTAAAGTGTTGCTGTGTTTTTACCCCCTTTTATGAGCCTGAAACCTGAACAGTTTACATAGTTTTGCAGAGCAAGCATCATAGTGAAAACCTGCATATGAGCAATCTTTTGACTACATCCTGCTGGTCACACAAATATTGTGGGAAATATAAACAAGAGTTTTGGAAAGTTATTAAAAGAAAAAAAGAGAAAGAAAACATGGCATAGAGTCTCTTCATTTTCTTTTCCAACCTGGTGAGTTTCCAAAAAAGGCCAGTTATACTGAACCTTTGGTGTATTATTGTAGAGTTTTAAACTTACAATATCGTAAACTAATTTACTATTTTATTTTTTCAGTATACAATAGTACATGGCTCAGCATAGGGGGATAAAAAAAAAAAAAAAATCACACCTCACAGTAATTTCTGATGTGAGCTTCAGTAGGTTTTCTTAGTGAACATGATCTTTGCCACATTTTTGTGGATTTGCACCATGTGTAAACTGTGCATTACTATAGTAACCTTTAAAACACTGACGTTTTTTTTTACAGGGCCATGATTCAATAGAAAATGATGTGTGCACTGTGTCACTGATGTCATTTTGTTTTTCAAAACTGAATAAATTTTCCCTTTCACTGAGTGTACTTTGTGTACCTTCCCTGTTCATATTTGTTGCACTATTCAAATACATGCATGTCTGTGTACTCGGAGCATGCCATAAAGAAGTTAAATAATAGATGCTAATTTTATACATTAAGTTGGTGCATGTCTTAAATACCTAATAATCACATCAAATTACACATTATACATTTCGATGAAGCTTGATTGAGACATGATGACGGCATTCTTCTTATAACCAGGAGAGATGAAACAAGAGGAGAGGAAACGTACAGCAGTCGGGTGCGACACCAAAGGAGCAGGAAAGTTGAAGGGTGGCGCAATAAAAACACAAGTAAGAATTGACAGGGTTTAAAAGGGGCCATTATGGTGCAATAAAAGCAAAAACTATGAGGCCAGGGCTGGTAAAGTTTTTAAACTGAACTAAGTACCGTCAGCATATTGTCTCGCAAACAAATAGCTCATCAAGATTTTTACTTTTGTAAAGTCATTTCCGTGGCTGTACTGTTGTACAGTACTTCAACTTTTCCTGGACGTGCTTCAGCTTTTACTGAAGAATGCCTGAACTTCAGCAGTGAATGTAGACTTCATGTTACTGCCATAATATGTTTCTTGCAATTCATAGGTGAACCACATAATGTCCCGAGAAAAAATAAATACAATAAAATAAGAATGCTATTCTGTGGTGTAAAATAGCTCGGCGAAATTACAATGCAAATACAATGAAGTCACAAATGTGTGTATGGTATAAACGCTAGGACACAAGAAAACGCTATATAAGTCTCCCCGAATAGAAGATAAACAATATTGAGCTGATGTTCGAATTAGAATATTTGTATTAATTCAAAGATCAGCTTAGAGCCACATATTCACCATTCCGCAGGTAACTCACTCGAGGCTGAAGTGTGGCCAGTATGTTCCCCGTTTGTGCCCACCAGTCGAGAAATAGAGTTTGAATCCGTGTGTCTGCAAGTGCACTCGGAGCCTTCTCTTCTGCTGTTCTTTTTCCACTTGATTTTGCTGTCTGGGCGTGACCAAGTCATTGTCATACGTGAGAATACTAGCGGAAATCATTCGGGGAAAAAAATCGAATAAAAACGCGCAAAAATAAATCAGACCGGAGAGGTGGTTCGTTTGTGTGCTGAAAGAGAAATCATTCCCTTATTTGGTACTAAAACCGTTTTTCTGGAAATAGAATTACGACTTCAAATTTCGACGTTACAATGTTTTTCCTCACGTGGCCCTATACGCCTTTATTAGAAAGAAAAAGAACCCAATTAAAAAGAAAAAAGTGAACATAAATATCTAAAGAAAGTAGCATCTAAACGAAATAGTAGTAATGCTGTAAATTTTTATGAGCTTCTTAAATCTTGCTCCTCAAATACTATCTGCTATCGCATGTTTGT